CCCCAAAACCCCAAAACCCCAAAACCCCTTAAATGCTAATAGTATTGAAAACTTAATTCAAAATCATAAAATCTCGAATTTGACTGGAATCAAAACATCAGAAACTTTGACAACCACATGAAAAAGCATCTCCATAACTACTCAAAGAGTGACCAGGCTAATCATCGAATTCTGCAGGAAGAGAATGTAGAAACTCACTTGTCTTTTGAAGAAACTCATTCTCCTCTCTGTCTGATGGTTCCAAGATACTAGGCAATCTTAAAAATTTTTGGAGATTAAATTGAAAGCAATATTTGCTTGTTGGAGCATAGGTGAAGAATTCAAGGAGTAAAGATGACAGAAGAGCTCAATCAAGTCATGGACAATATGAAGTACTTGGCACAACTGAACAGTCCATTGACTCACTATACAATGAGGTTCCTGAAGTGTCGAGGATACACTTCCAGCACTAAGGAATAGTATCAAAATGATTTATACTATTGAGATATACTAAAACATAACTTATAGAATGACAGACTTTTCCAACAAAAAAAAATAGCCAATCAGATGATTGAATGTTTCAAGAAAGAAATTCTACAAATTAAAAATCAGCTGACGATAACATTCTTTTGATCATGAGAACTACTCTCCACATGAAATGATTCCAGTTCCGAAATTTTTCTCAGAACTCAATAGGTCTTACCAACACAATGTGATATTACCAAGCAAAGATTGATGAGCATGCTTAAAGGGGAAATATGAATTCCTACAGAATCAGATTTATTCGTAAAATTCAACTTGTATTGTATAAGTGCAAGGTTAGAAATTACAAATAACTGATCTATAGAAAAACCAGAAATGTGATCACTCCTGATAGTCTATCAGCCATTTGAAGATTTTGCCGCTCCTATGAACTGGTAACTCAAACGCCCCAAGCTGCTTTGCTCAAATAAGCAATTTATTCAATTCATCATGAAATTAAAATATCTTTACTTTTCGGTTTTAGATATTTCTATCTGAATCCGCTAAAATGGGGTTTTGGGGTTTTGGGGTTTTGGGGTTTTGGGG